GTATCTTAAATTTCATACTTTCTTCCTTTTTTGATTTATCATCTGTACTGAGCAGAGACTTTTTGTGTTGGGTCAATCAACGGAACTTCTTGAAGTTTTACTGCTTCAACGCACCTCCAAAATGTTCTTCCACGTTAGTTTCGCTTTGGTTTTACTCTCCAGCAGTGCTTTAACACCTAGGTAAGATAAATCAGATAACTATATAATTATCTAAATCGTTTAAAATGCGATTTTCTTGAATCTTTCTCATTTTAACCCCTTTACTAGACAACTCCAACAAATAAATACATAACGTTCTCTGGAAACAAAAACTTTGATATCGACATGCAGTGGGTTAAGGTTCCGTTCTGCTATAGACTACTTTTGTAGTAGACCCGAATTCAGTTCTTGAGCTAGGTTTAAAAATGTCCAACTGGTATTTCTTAAAACATGCATTTGTGATTTTGAACCTTGAGCCTTTAATTCTCTACCCCATCCGTCACTTCCGAAGGTAAAACGTTTTTAAAATACTTAATATTATATTTTATTTCAAAGCCGCCACTTTTAAGAATCATAACAGCAGTCGTAGCAGTATTAAGTTGCTGACTTCCCAAGTCTTACGTTTTTAAAGGAATTTCATTGTTCTATAAAACTCGGTTTTTCAGCCCAGCATCTTTCTTACAGTCGTATATACTCTCAGAATCGCTTGAAGCCGAAACAGGAACTATTATTACATCATACTAAATTGTCTTTTAAAACCATCAGGGGTCAGGAGCAGAAGAGGAACAGAATGTGTGTGTTGGACATCGATGAAAAAGGCGACCTTTACCTTTACAAGTTTGCACTACTCTGCAAGAACGAGATCATCAAGCGACTGATCAATGGATCTTTTCACCTTGCAGAATCGAGAGACCGACCGAGTACAATAGGTAATCCATTGATAAAACTCTTGTCATGACATGTATGTGATCTTCCGATGCAAGCAACTTACTCTTGAAATGATCGTTTCATATTGTTTACTGAGAAGAATGTATATACTGTTAAGTTATGATTAAATAAGCCATGAGGTTATTATTGTACGGTTTTTTCCTTGGGTCACCTGCAGGAAACCTTAATCATTAATCTCTGAGTCCTATTCTGTCTGAGATCTTGGCGATATACCGGGAGGGCTTATTTTCCCCGTGCGCGCATTTTGAGGAGGTGAAAAACAGTTTTAGGAATGTTGCAGTATGTTGACAACAGTGCTTCTAAAAGATCCAGTTTGCCACAGAAATCCTGTAAAATTAAGGGTACGTTCCTTTGGGGTGATCAGGATCAGGATCAGTGATCCTAGATCTGTCTGGGTCATGGTGCATCAAAGCAATCAATGAATTCATGACGAGAGTAGGTTCGTCGTTTCGTTTGATGTACCATGATTCAGACAAATCTAGGATCACTGATCCCGCATGATCCAGATCACCCCAAAGGAATGCATCCTAAGAGGTAAATTCAAGGCTTTAGTTCTTGATTTTCTCATCGGCTTTGAATATAGGACAAAGCAAAGCAAACCCAGCCTTGAATTGCAAGGACTTGAAACACAAAGCGCCATCACTCGTGTCAGATGTCTATTGGATAGATCCAGATGGTGGTTCCCATGATAACGCATTCCAGGCCTACTGCGACCAACAGACCGACGGTGGGGGCTGGACACTAGTTTGGAGCTACACCTTTACAGCTTACTACAGTTTCACGAGTAGCTCAAACGCTGTCACGCCGCGTCCAAGCTGG